CCTAGTGATACAAACCAGACAATTATTTTGGATTTCATATTTCCTCCAAGGTTTGTAGACTTAGCCTGTTGCCATCCTGACTTTTACAAATGTCTTGTTACTTTTCTTCCACCAAAGCCCCTTGCTGGGACCAGGTTGGAGCTAACCTGGTAACTGGCCTGGCGCCATGTTGGTATCGACTTTCTGATCCATCTTCTGACACACAGTATGCCACTGAGACATGAGAAAGCAGAACAGCTGTTCATCAAACTCGGTTCTAGGTCTAGGCACCATAAGGAGTGGAGAGCACTGGGGTGTCAGAAAGACCCAGCTTCTCATCTAGGCTTCCACTTTTACTCCCATAGTGATTTTGGACAAACTGTCTAAATTCTCTGAGACCTCATCTGTGTCCTCATCTCCAAAATAATAGGAACTAAGCCAGGCACAGAGACTTTGGGCTTATTTTGAGATTAAGATAATGCGTTTGAAATTGCTTTGGAAATCTTAAACGATTACACAGATAGAGATATTATTATTACCACTCAGTAATATAAAATGCCTTGGTGAATTCATTGACTTTAGCACTAATGATACTCTGAGGCATTAATAAAAGTAATTCTTCTCCTTTGTCCCTTCTCCTAGCACCTTTCTAACACAAAGTGCCTCAGACATTAGAAAATGTGGCATAATGAAAACTGAGGGTTGGGGGCAGCCTTAATGAAGAATTTAATAATGGCTGATTGATTTAGTGACAGAGGGGAAGCTGCTTGCTCTTGTGCTGCTCAGTGTGATGCCAAGATGCCAGTTTTTCCTTGTCAGGCTAAAAGAAAGGGCTGGAGAGCAGGAAGGAAATGGTCTGTTTGTGATTTAGTTGCTCTTTGCACTGATTGTAAGCTCTAGTAAGGGATGAGACGTTGTGAACCCCAGGAGAGAAGCATAGGCTAGGTAGCTCCCCAAAACCTTGTAAGGCCAGAGGCAGGAGAAGCTTCCCTGCTCTTGATCACACTGGTACTAAATAGGAGAATTTTTTTTTTTTTTTTTTTTTTTTTTTACATATTATAGCAGCTTTGACTTCCTTCAAGAGCAGTGGTCTACATAGTCCCAGGTGTACTGGTGTCATTATTTCATCCTCTCCAAGTTGATTTCAGGTTCAGGCTTTACCTAATGCTGCTTTGGGAAGCACAGTCAGGAGCCAAGAGCTCCATTAACGGGCTAGTTTATTGTTTATGGCTTTCTTTCAACATAGAAGGGAAGAATAGCAATGGTAGAGCTAATAATTGGGGTGTAAACCCCAAACATGAGCTTGTGAAATACTTATTGTAGTGACGTCTAATTTGTAAAATACAACAGTTCAAAATTAATTTCAAAGAGAATAATGAAAGTAGGATTCCTGAAGACAGAAAATGCTCCGTTTCTTTGGAAGATATTTTGCAGACTTTGGCAAGGTCTCATGTAATAATGTTCTGCTTAGGAATAACCTGCTGAGCTGCTAATGGTAGTAATGTGACATGTTTGGCAACAGAGTATTGGAGTGTCAAGAGTGTTTTGTTTGTTTGTTTATTTTTTTGGTGTTTTTTTTGCGGTACGCGGGCCTCTCACTGTTGTGGCCTCTCCCGTTGCGGAGCACAGGCTCCGGACGCGCAGGCTCAGTGGCCATGGCTCAGGGGCTCAGCCGCTCCGCGGCATGTGGGATCTTCCCGGACCGGGGCACGAACCCGTGTCCCCTGCATCAGCAGGCGGACTCTCAACCACTGTGCCACCAGGGAAGCCCTTTTTTAAAAAATTATTATTAATTAATTTATTTATTTTTGGCTGAGTTGGGTCTTCGCTGCTGCATGCGGGCTTTCTCTAGCCACGGCGAGCGGGGCCCACTGTTCGCTGCAGTGCACGGGCTTCTCGTTGCAGTGGCCTCTCCTGCTGCAGAGTACAGGCTCCAGGCGTGCGGGCTTCAGCAGTTGTGGCTTGTGGGCTCTAGTGTGCAGGCTCAGTACTTGTGGCGCACGGGCTCAGCCGCTCCGCGGCACGTGGGATCCTCCCAGACCAGGGCTCGAACCCGTGTCCTCCACACCAGCAGGCGGACTCCCAATCACTGGGCCACCAGGGAAGCCCTCAAGAGTGGTTTTGACCTGCCCTTTGAATTCAGTTAGCTAGGATGTTTTTATGTTTCTTTTATTAAACTTATACATTAGTATAATTTATATAAAAACCACTTAATTCTCTTTTTGGAAGAAGATATTAAATTAAGAAAACATTGTTAGATTTACCCTTGAAAACTTTGCAGACCTGCTTTTCTCTATTGATGATGCTGGGATTTGCCTTATTTTCTTTCCTTTGGAATAATGATATGTATATAAGTTTCTCTCTTGATTTGACACAGTTTTGGAAAAACCAAACTTAAAATGTGTTACTTAAAACAAATTGCCTCTTGTTTTCAGCCCTACTGGTGCCATGGTTTATTCTTCATACATACAGTGCATCATTCTTCCAAAGCCGATTTCAGATTGCACTTTCACTTAAGGCTGTTTGGTATTAATGCTATTTGTCATTCTTATAGGAAATGTAAGAATGATCATAATGGGGGCAAGTTCTAAATTGGATTGTTCTAATTTTTAATTTTCTTAACTGTGATATTATTATGAACTTCAGAAATTAAAGTGAATACTTTTTTAGAGGGGGTAGTTCTAAATTTTAACCAGAACTATAGCCTTCCTGCTCCAACTTTCCAGTCTGTGTAGGCTTATAGGCTTTTGGTCACAATACTGTGTTAGGCCATTATGTTTAAAAAGGAGATGAGCCAGCCATGAAGTGACAGATAAAGGTATTCAGTCATTCATATTTCACAGATTTAAAGACAACTAACAGAGCTCTACAAAAAATTTTATCTCATGTGCTTATGTAGTATTTTGGGATGCCATAGCCTTAGGCCTATAAATACCCTGTATACTTTCCAGAGATTTAAAAATAATCTCTTGATCCTTGCCTTTCAGAGTAGTAATAAGCTATCTAAAGATTATTGTTAATTTTTAAGTAAAATTTACAAGCAAATATTATTTAGTTCTGATTATACCCTGCCTAGTGCACTATGTCTGTGGTTACCATTACAGTAAAAAGTGTGCTCTGTGTGTATTCCAACCAACATTTACTGAACACATGCTACATACCTAGCATTGTGCAAATGCTTTCACCTGAATCATGTCTCTGATTTCCCTTCCCATACCCCCTTCTCTCACCTTGCCACTGCCAGTGAGATGCAGTGAGATAATCATAGATACTCTCATTTAAAGGAACTAAGCCTCAGAATGATAAATCATTGACATGTCCAGGGCCACACGGCTAATAAGGGACAGGAAGATTCTGTCTTGAAGTCTTCTGACACCACGCCCTTTGCTTGATTAATGCTGGGACCCTAAAGAGATTCTTTTCCAAACTACTGATTTTACAGATGAGGAAATGAGGCCCAGAGAAAGTGAGAAATTGCCTGAGGTTTCACTGTTAATTATTCCTTCCTTTCTGAACTACTACACTTTCTCCATTCGCCTCCAAATGTTTTTAGAAGTCAAAATAGAACTACTCCCTCACATGTGCTCACTGTCTCATGCATCTTCCTGGTGAGCCCATCGCTTCCACTGAATCCCAAAGATTTCCACTCCTAATCCACCCCCCTCCCCACACCACCTCTTCCCTGAGGTCAGGATTTCTTTCTCTCGCTTTTCCCAGATACCTCCACCTGAATGTCTGAGCAGAAAAGTAAACTTGAAATGCAGGCTGCTAAAAATGGAAAATTGTTAACATCTTCCATAAACTTACTAATCCCTCTTGAAATGCTGGGATTCCCTCTTAGAGTAATTATCTCATTTTCTTCTCAGCTCAGATTGCATTACCCCCTTCACTTCCTTGAACGTAGGATTGGTGTGCTTTTGATTCTGGGATTTTCAATCTTAAGCTCTCTCCTGAGTTTGGAATTTACTTTTTCAGATGTTTACTTGATATATCTTTCTGGGTATACTACATGTTTCTCAAGTACAACGGATACTATTCCAAATTCCACATTTCCAGCCATCCTCAACTGTATCCTCTTTTTGCACTATTGATTTTGATGAAAGATTTTTACCATCTAATCAGAATGAAGCTAGAATCTGTGTGTCATCTTATACTCTTCCCTCAATCTTAGCCCTCACATTTAATTAAGTATTAAATTTTAAAAAGTTTACCTCTAAAATACTTCTCAAATTTGGCTTCTTTTCTTCCTACTTCCGCTGCCTTCGTTGAGGCAGTGTCTTAATGTACAATTAGTGTCTTTGCACTCTAGTCTAGTTCCATTTTAGAAGAAAGTAAAGAGCATTTATGGGGTTTTTACAGTGTGCCAGACACTGTGCTAAGTTGCAAGGTAGAAAAAGATAAAGTCTTGACCCCTAAATTTGGATGGCCTATGTAATAACAGACAGGTACAGTTTCCCTTTTATTTTCATTGATTTCCCTTTCTTTCTGTCTATCCCACCTTTCCTTTTTTCTTTTCTTTTCTTTTACCTTTATGATATAAACTCAGTACAATTAAAATCTGTTGACACTTTCAATCATAACTGTTTACATATAGTGTTGTTTATTGATGAAACTCCTTCAAATCTCATTCTCAAATTTTCCACATGTGAAGATATGAAATGTCAGTACTACTGAGAGCATTCTTGAGCTATTTAAAAGTACCATGCCTAGCTTTTAGGGTTGTTGAAATGAGATTTTATAAACTCATAGCAAGGCCTAGAAGGAAAGGAAAAGGAAACAAATTGTAGTATTTTCAAAAGCATTGGAATTTGTTTTGGTAGAATGCATGTTAAATTCTAATATGTTCCCTGAGTATAGCGAATAAAGTAAACTTCATCTTAAAAGAAGATTTTTAAACAAAATCATTTCCTTAAGATTCCTGATGTATTTTAAAAGGGAATTTTTAGTATGCTTCACAACTTTCTATAGCTTCTACAAAAGTGATTGTCAGATTTAATGCAGCACTTTTCTGTTGCTGATAGGTACACACTGGTGGATATTTTGCGTGCCATCTTACTTTCTTTAGAAGCCATGATTGAAGATCCTGAGCTTCAAGTGAATGGATTTGTTTTGATCATAGACTGGAGTAACTTCACCTTCAAGCAAGCCTCTAAACTTACACCAAGCATGCTGCGCTTGGCTATCGAAGGCCTTCAGGTAATGATTTACAAATTACCCAGTTTCTCAGTCTCCCATGTTTGGCTTATCTGTGGTAGAACAACAGAAGATCTTACTTAAGGAATAATAAAAGCACATTTTAAAAACTAGTTTTCAAGCACAAACACTAACTGGACAAAGGATCATAGAAGAAAAGCTAGAAGATGTGGGCCTTTTAATGAATGGAAGCTTGTGATACTTGGCACTAAGCCCTCACTATGTCTATAAGTGCCAGTGATGATCTGGGATTTTTAGCTTGATAATCAGAACAAGCAACATCTTCTGGATTTTAATTATTAGCTATCTAGGCTTTTGTTTGTTTGTTTTTCTTTCCTTTTCTGTGTATAGTTGTTAATTAGCTAAATGTTTGCTTCATTGTTCCATTTAGTTGCCCAACAACTGTTGGAAAGCCAATCAATCAATATGTTTTTTGGTATCTAAGATATGGAATCACTGTTTTGAATTACTTCTTTAGACTTAATTGGGGGTTTTCTTTTTTTTTTTTTTTTTTTTTTTTTATTGTGGAAGGGCTATGATGTGGAGTTGACAGAGGAATGGTGCATCTTCCAATGAATGGCATTTAACTGGTTGGGAATTATAAAATGGAAAATCAGTTATTATTTAGTGGCATGTTATAAACCTAATATCGATGATTTCTTTTTAAGTTTTAAGGTGTCTTTTTTCTGCTCTCTGCTTTGCTTTATGCTACTTTATATATACTATTTATGGAATAAAATTTAAATTCTTAAAAGATTTGCAAATTAATTCTTAAGTGAGGTTATTCAGTATTTATTCTCAGTATGTTCAACATGCTTTTTAGAAGTTTGCAGCAGTTAGTTTTTATAACGTTTATCACTGAAAATATCACAAAATAACTACTTTTATCGTTGTCATTCATTAGTTCAGGATGCTAGATTTTTTTTTTTTTTAAGTAGAACAACCAAAATTATCTAGATCTCTGCTTCACAGTAATTTCTGACTGTGTCTATAGGCACCTAAATTGAAGGATGCTGGCCCCCTAAAAAAAGGTCACTTCTCCAAGCAGCAGGACATCTTAACCAAATTGAATTCACAGTTTGGGTTTTGCCTCTGGAGTGAATAAGACACACTGATCCTTTTCTCTGATAGGCTTTCCCTGATGCAGGTTTCCTGAGCTGCTCTTGGTGAGTCAGCCTTGCTCCTGCCTTATCTTGAGCTACACTTTCTTTTTAACTCCACAGAGACCGTTAATAAGAGTTGGGAGGGCATGGGGAGACACAGTGCTTGGAAATGTGTGTATCATGTAGAGTCAGTCCTAATTCTGCCCCCCTGCCATCGGCGTGTAAAGTGTTCTTCACTTTATAGAGAAAATTGGTCACCACCAACCATATTACTTAACACAGAATGGCAACCTAGCCTTTTATAATCGTGATCCCAATTTAACTGGCATGAGGGGTAGTCTAGGCCTTCAGCATATGAAGAACTGGAGAACTCATATGATTTCCAAAAAATTGAAAAAAACAAACAACTCAAGGATAGACTCAATATCTTGCTGTTTGCTAATTTATACACTTTATGGAGTCATTTAATAGTAGTATGATAAGTCCTCGGTGGAGGAAAAAACTGACCACTTGGACACGTTTGGGAGCTTCCCCATTACCCATGGCTCCGATCAGAACTTTTTAAGTGCTGAGAGTCAGCACAACAGGAGCTACAGTCAGATTAAACCTCTGTGCTTGTGTTAGAGAGGGAAATGGTCCCCCTCTCTGCAGGGACCTCTGCTGAACTGCCTTATCTCTATTCCCCATCACTGTCCTCATCCCCTTTCCTTGATCCCAGGACCCAGACTGAGTAAGCAGGGTTGATTCCTCCTGGTTGCCAATTGGGAAGCCACTTAAAAGAAGGGAGATCCTCCTGGGAATAAATTTGACATGTTACTAACTTTTAAATTAGTTCAAATTAATTTTTAAATGCTCTATATCTATGTCTATATCTGTGTCTATGTGTATATCGATATCTATAAACAATGGTGATTCTGAATAAGAATATAAGATGTACTATAAATGTTCCATTGTGTGTTCCATTGTGACGTGTGATTTCATATTTACTTTCATACTGAAGTAACGTTTTCTGACTTTTCTAATTAAGAGTGTTTTATTTTGCACTTACTATGTGAGAAATATTATTGTGCATTGATATGTTTCACGCAGAGCATGAATAAACTTTTTTTTTTGAGATTAGCATGAAACCGTAAAGTGTTTGAAGTAAACACACATATGCACAATTTTAGATTGTTAAACAAAACTACCACCATCACTAAGACCACCACCAAAACCACAATAATAAACCCCTTCCAATTAACCCAGTCAGGGAAATTAAGAGGTGAGAATATTTTTAATAACTCAGTGATAATTTGTATCATTCTGCTATAATATGTTACTTTTATTTAGGCAAACAAAAACATATCCTAGGGAATTAAACCAAAAGTAAGAAAAGCTACCAGTGGGTCTAGTGCCAAGGGGGAAACTTAATTTAATGATGTGTATTATTAAGGGATGTAACTGTGTTTTGAAGAGGGCCCATCTCTCTTCCTTTATACAGAGGTGACTGTATAACCTCTCTACCTGCATACACCAATCCCCTTTTTCCTCAGGTATTTTGAGTGACCCAGCTAGAGATAGCACCTTATACTTTGGATAAAAACACAGAGACCATTGCTGTAAGATCCACCTGTGATCACAGTGGAAGGCCAATAGAGAGACACTGTTGAAGGATGGAAATGGGCTATAGGGGCAGACAGACCTGGGTTTGGTTGGCAGCCCTGCCACATATCAAATATATGGGCAAATTACTTAACTTGCTTGGATGTCAGTCTATTCATTTATACCAATTTTAAAGTATTACATTAGAAATAATACACCTAGCAGGTGATATTAATGATCAAAGTAATTGATGTAGGTAAGCTCATTTTTCAAGTGGCATATTTTTCTGGACGTGTGCTGTTTTTCTCACAATTCAGTGACTACCTAGGCTGTGAAGACTTAAAGATGATTGACTTTGGGAATCTGAAAAATATCGTATTTTGCTTTTAATGCTCAGATTATAGATACACAGATTCCATTTTTAAAAAATCACTTTGTGGTTAAATAGCATCTAGATATTTTCATTTTAGATGCCAAATCATATATTTTTTTCTCGCTGGAAGCCAAACAAAACATGAGATGTTTTTCACCTGGTGAAAATTAATCTTCGTTTCTTTTGGGAGAAACTCCAGGCACAGTTGGAAAGGTGGTGATTGTGGAGATAGCTTTTTTTTTTTTTTTTTTTTTGCGGTACACGGGCCCCCCACCGCTGTGGCCACTCCCGCTGCGGAGCACAGGCTCCGGACGCGCAGGCCCAGCGGCCATGGCTCACGGGCCCAGCTGCTTCGCAGCATGCAGGATCCTCTCGGACCGGGGCACGAACCCGCGTCCCCTGCATCTGCAGGCGGACTGTCAACCACTGCGCCACCAGGGAAGCCCTGTGGAGGTAGCTTTGGCCTTGAGGGAGGAGCAAGAGTTTGCTAAGGGGATAAGGACAGGAAGAGCATTTGGGGCAGGGAAACTTTGGGGGAGGTGACTTGAACAGACAGGTCTAAAGCATTGAAAGTACGTGATAAATCAGTTTCGATATGGCTAGAGTGAGAAATGAATTGAAACAAATGACCAGAGGTGATCTGGGAAGGGCGGGCTGAGACCTGGCCCTATGGGCTGGAGGAAGGCATGCTGTGTGGTTTGACCTGTGTACTCCAGACATGGGGACATTTGGGACAGGAAAGTGACCTGGTCACTCTTCTTCTTTGGAAAGATCTGTTGGGTAGAAGAATTGACTTGGATCAAAGGAGAGGGCTTAGATATAGAGAACACCCAGACTACCCTGGAGGTACTTACATTGATCCCATTTTGTAGGACAGATAATGAAACTTCAGGGAGTTTAAGACACTTACCTGAATTTTCTCAACTGACCTCAAGGCTTGAGTCCAGGTTGTCTGATTCCAAAGAATGAATGTCTTTCCTGAATCTTATTGTTTCTGGTTTTCTGTTAATTAAAAAAATGATACAATTTTAAAGGTTACTTTCCATTTACAGTTATTACAAAATATTGGCTATACTCCTCCTGTTGTACAATACATCCTTGAGCTTATTTTACATCCAACAGTTTGTGCCTCCCATGCCCCCTTGTTTCTGTTGTTTCCAGAGCTGTGCCTAAGAAAAAATGGGTAGCCTCAGGTAAAGTAACTTTCCTCCCCCATGCCAAAAATCCTCACATTTCAGTACAGGTGAAATTTCTTTGTGGGAATAGTACAGTACTAAAATAGTCACAAATGGCTGACCTTGCACATTTTTGGACACCAAGTGGCAGAACCATTTTCTTCTTCCCAGTGAGTGGTCTCTTTGAGTGACTACCAACCTCCCAGTTCCCTGTGATGAAGGGCAAGGGCAAGGCACTTTCTTCTAGCCAAAGAGAACTTTTATCCTCACAGCCACAAATTGGTAAGCCACTCATTATACCAGTCCAAGGCAATTCTGTACGCTTTCTCTTTGCAGAATCTTCAAACATTTTTTTTTAAATGAAAGGCATAAAAGATTTTTTACCAACACAGTGCGGCTCCTTGATAGATAAGAGGCAACATCAGATATATTTTGTGGAAATAAAGTATTCATTCTTAGCCGGAAGGAAAAGAGAAAGAGAAAATTGTCTTGCACCTTACAAGAATTTAATTGATTAAGGTAGTCATAGTAACAGGAAGCATCTTAGAAAATCAATACAAGATTAAGTGGATGTGACTTGTTGACTCTAAGATATCTGCCGGGGAAGCCAATTAAAACATGAAATGTTTGGAAATACCTAGAACAGCTTAGACTGAATTTATAATGAAGCAGTATGCTTTTAATATTTTTTGGTTTCTGTTGCTCTATTTTAATATTTTTCTTATAAAATATTACCATTCTTAAAACTCTTTGGTAGTGAAAAACTCAAAC